ACTGGACTCGATGACCTCTTGAGGTCCCTTCCAGTCCTAGAATCTATGAATCTATGAATCTATAGAGCAGGGGTACGGCAACCTATGGCATGCGTGCCAAAGGCTGCACGCGAGCTGATTTTCAGTGGCACTCACACTGCCCGGGTCTTGGCTACTGGTCCAGGGTTCTCTGCATTTTAATTTAATTTTAAATGAAGCTTCTTAAACATTTTAAAAACCTTATTTACTTTACATAATAATAATATATATGGAGATATACCATCTCATAGAGCTGGAAGGGACCCTGAAAGGTCAGCGAGTCCAGTCCGCTGCCTTCACTAGCAGGACCAAGTACCAATTTTGCCCCAGATCCCTAAATGGCCCCCTCAAGGATTGAACTCTCAACCCTGGGTTTAACAGACCACTGCTCAAACCACTGAATCATCTCTCAACAATACTTTAATTATATATTATAGACTTATAGAAAGAGATCTTCTAAAAACATTAAAATGTATGACTGGCACGCGAAACCTTAAATCAGAGTGAATAAATGAAGACTCGACACACCACTTCTGAAAGGTTGCCGACCCCTGGCATAGAGGGAGGGTCTCCCTTCTATGGACCTTGTGAGGGACATGGTGGTGTGTGGCCTTTTCTCTGTGTTTTTTTTCTTTTTAAAAAACACCCACCCTAGGAAATTCTATTTAAAAAACTATGTTAAATGAGTGTTAAGTAGGCTTGGAAGAATTCCATTTTTATTGGTAAATGTTAATAAATGTCAATTTCACTGTACAGACACAGATGAACAAATATTTCCAATGATAATAATCAAAATTTACAAATAGGCAAAGTAAGAAAAATGCTGCTTGAGAACTTATTAGGATATTTACTTTATATATTTTGACATGTGAGATTGTCAATTTGTGTGTCAACATTCTAGAGCTTTAGCTCTTTGAATCTCTGTTTACTGTCATTAAATAACTATTGTCTGATACAAATGTGACAATTGAAATACATACACATTTAAATGGTTTCAAAATAAACATTGATACGATCCATTTAAATTCGTAACAATTCTGCTAAGCCTAGTGTTCAGGTTACATGGGGAAGTACCCCAAAAGTAGGAAATATTTGCCTCTATTCATTTGATACAGTCTACAAATGCATGAACATGTGTTATTTCCGACTAGACAATGTACAGTGTTTTCTGCAGCCTAGAAAGAGCAGTGGATTAAGCAGTGGCTCTTAAGGACACCATTGTGTGTCTTGTGTATAAATGCCTTTTGGACTCTTTCTGGCATGCATAAATTATTACCCAGGAGAATCTCAATGTTCTTTTAACATAATGCTTTCAGTGACGTCAGTGTTAAGATGCATCTGCGAGGGAAGTGTAGCTCAGTGTGAGAATATGCTAAAGGAGGTCTTTGAGACACCTCCCTTGGCTCTGCAGATAAGAATAGCAGTACCTAATGGGCAGCTAAATAAATTCTGCCTGAGAGCTTCTGCCCACGCTTAGGTCAGCCTGAAAGTTGTAAACCATTTCAAAGAGCTTCCTGAGACCGCAACTGTTCTGAACGGTCCATTTAGGAATAGCTCGCCACACTTTACATATCCAAAAGTCGGTTCACTAGTGTGTGGGATAGTGAGGCTGAAGTTACCTCTCTATTGTAAGTACTTGTATGGCTCCTATTATTATAGCATTTCAGCACTGTACAATCTTTAATGTCACAACAACCAGTGAGGGTGAGTTAACTCAGGGCAATTATCGAAACTGAGGCAAACAGATACGAAGAGACTTGACCAAGGTCAAATGGGAAATCTGGGGCAGAGTAAGGAGTTGAACTTGGGTTGTTTAGGTTTCAGGGTAGCAGCCGTGTTAGTCTGTATCCGCAAAAAGAACAGGAGTACTGTGGCACCTTAGAGACTAACAAATTTATTAGAGCATAAGCTTTCGTGGACTACAGCCCACTTCTTCGGATGCATATAGAGTGGAACATATATTGAGGAGATATATATACACACATACAGAGAGCATGAAACTCTGCATCAAACTGTCTGTACTGGGCTATCTTGATTATTACTTCAAAAGTTTTTTTCTCTTACTTAATTGGTCTCTCAGAGTTGGTAAGACAACTCCCACCTGTTCATGCTCTCTGTATGTGTATATACATCTCCTCAATAGATGTTCCACTCTATATGCATCCGAAGAAGTGGGCTGTAGTCCACGAAAGCTTATGCTCTAATAAATTTGTTAGTCACTAAGGTGCCACAAGTACTCCTGTTCTTTTTGGGTTGTTTAAGTGCCCAGCTAGCACCCTCACCAATGGGCCAGCGCTCTCTCTAGAAGGATTGAGCCTGCACCCTCTTGCGTACAAAGCAGAACACGTCCCCCATTCCACCAAGTCCAGGAGATGAGAAGTCAGGTTGAATTTTGGGGAGAAGCGAAGGGTCAGGTCCATCCTTGGGGAGGGCTGAAGGGTACAGTTTGGCTTGCAGGGACATCTATGAATCTTTGCCCCTTTCCCCACATTGATCCTGACACTTTGTTGCCCCCAAGGGAGGTGAGTGATGTGTAATTAGCACTGCACAAACATTAATGAATTAATCCTAATTACCAAGTTGTGTTCCTGGTCCCTGCCAAAGATGGGAGATGCCCATAAGCAAGCTCCTTAGGGCAGGGACCATGTCTCTTCACATATCTGCAAAGCACACAGCTCCTTAAGACCTTCCCAGGCAGGCAACAATAGTAATTCACAAAAAGAAGAACAGGAGGACTTGTGGCACCTTAGAGACTAACAAGTTTATTAGAGCATAAGCTTTCGTGGACTATAGCCCACTTCTTCGGATGCATAGTAATTCAGCCTCCCGCTGTGTGACATCTCCTTTATTCCTTTGCCTGCTGCATGCACAGAAAGGGACCGTGTCTCTTTAAGCTTGGGGAGAGCTGCCTTGCCTGAGTGAGGGTGGGTTCTGGTTACTGTGAAGAATCCAGGTGACATGTGAGGCTAAGGGGCGGGGCTTCACCTGGCCCCCAGGTGAGAGCGATATGGGCTACAGTTCCCTAATGTCTGTGTCTCTTCCTCCCTTGCCGTGGCTTAGGCTGGAGTAGGTTCTTCCTCCGCCGGCTCCTTTCATTCACCCGCAGGCTTGGGATGAAGCTGTTCCCTGAACAATGGTCCGCCGAGGGTGTAAGGCAGAGTGACTTCCCGGAGCAGGAAATGCCAGCGACTGTGATGCCGGTGAGTATAGCAGGGCTTGGGCTAGGACTAGGACTCTTCTTCTCTAGGTGTCTGGGGATGGGGCTGCGAGTCTCTGATTATCCCCGGACTGGGTGCAGATTGGCAGCCCTAGGGCAGGCTTCCCCACCTGAATCATGACTTAGGAAGGGGGAGCTCTTGAGGCCCCCGTTCAGCTGGGATCACTCCCTGTTGAGATTTGAGCATATGTCTGAGACATGCCATGCACACAACTACTTTCACCTGAGCACCAAACTTTCCAGTTCTTCCTCTCCCGGCGTTGGCTGGGCTGGGCTTGGCTTGAACTTGTGACCTAGAGGTGACAGGCTCCCATCAAAAGCCATGGAGTTCAGAGTTGCCAAGCTGGCTGTGTGTATTTAACTCCCCTTGTTGTTACATTTTGTAGCTCCTACCATAAGCAGGGTTCTCCTGCACCTCCTTCCCCATTAGCCTGTAGCAGGCTGCTACAGATGCTGATCTTGGTTGATTACACAGGTAGATTTGGAGTGATGACTCTGTTTGCTTCATTGGTGTTCCTGTGGGTCTCTGCTGGAGTGACTGAGATTGGAATCTGGCCCACTAATTGCCTTAGTTCTGGATTTCCGTGGAGGGATTTTGTGTGTGTGTTTAATCCCCGAAGCACCTTTAAGATAGTACATATTGCATCTGGTTACAAAGAATCCAAGCTCAAAAAGGCTTAAATCAGATCATTTATAACCTTTGGCGTGTAGCTGTATAGTGGTGGTGTTTCCTATTTTTGTGCCTCTAGCTCTGATAGTTTATCATCACAATCCACCAACAGAGGAGTATAAAAACTCCTAGACCATAAATCCTATCCGGATCTTTCCCATCCCTTGTCTGGAACAGGGTTTCCCACGCTGATGTGGTGACACTCACAACTTGCCAGGTGCATAAAAGTTTCACCTAATGCAGGAAATGAAACAGTTTGCACCTGCCTTCTCCTTTAATATGAGGGAGGAGGGTGAGACCTGTGGAGAATAGAACTCCCAGAATGCAGTGCTCTCTTGATCCAAGTGAGGTGCACCAGACTCTCTCCACCCCACTAATTTAGTCTGACTTGCTGCAGGCATGCAGGAAAGACTGTGGCTGGTGTATTTCCCATACATCAGACTCAGTTGATGCACCGTAGCCCGTACCCTGATGGCACTGAGCAGATGTGACTAATGTTTGCGGCTCCCAGAGTGTCTGTGTAGGAGACTGAAATAGACAGAGCCCTCTTCCTCTTCTTGCCTTTGCAGCCCCCATGTGACTAAGCGTGTGGTGCTGTGGGTTAGCAGCGCAGGGTCCACAGAGGCAAAGGATGTCTACTGCTCAGAGCTGCCATCCTGGGCCTTTTGGTTCTGTGCAGCTGGGTTTCCAGGGGACCCTGCCATGGGCGTTAGTCATGTAAAGCCGGCCTGTCTGAGAGAGCTGCAGGCTATGCTGGGGTGTGGCTGCCCTTTCAGGTTTCTGGCAATTGTTCTTGTGTTGCTGCACCCCAGAGAAAAGCAACAGGGCCCTGTCATCAGCACTGGTCCTACCACAAACAGCACAACTGCATGCGGGGGGCACCATGCAGATCGGCCCCATCTCCCCTCCTGATAAGGGGGCTGGGACGGGGACTGGCAAACTCCTGATCCCATACACGTCCCCTGTTATCATGGCTCATGGCAGCTCTCTGATCTCCCACCTCCCCTCCCTGCCCCCCAGTAGTCTTTGGGGCACTCTCGCCTGAGGTCCTGCCATCGCAGAGCCCAACTTGTGACTCCGTGCAGGCCTCCTGCTGAAAGGAATGTGAACGATCAGGGTTTTGCTGGGCGGTACCACATGACGGCACCCACCCGAGGGCGGTGGCTCAGCCGGCCCTGGTGTGTTTACTGTACACAGAGACGATAGCTATGGAATTGAGATAACTGCACAATAACACTGTGACACACAGAGTGCCAGCCTGGGTGTAACGAATACGCCGCTCGGGCTCAGCAGGGTCCGAATGGGCTCTGTCTGCCTCTGTTGTTAACAGGGCCAGGCCAAGAGCGCCAGTCTCCGTTACCCACCTGTTAGCTTTCGAAACAAACAGCTTTGTGCTTTCTCTCACGCTGCCCCACACGCCTGCAAGGCCCTCCCTGTAATCGCTCACAGAGCTACCTCACTGTCCACCTTCGAATCTCGCCACAAAACTCTCCTTTGCCGTGAGGCCTACAAAAAAACCGGCCGGTGTCCTGAGACCGCTGCTAACGGCAGAGCAGGATGGCCTCGTTGTGCTCCCCCATCGGTCTGTCTCTTCATCGCTTGTTTTCAACCATGAGCTTTTGGGGGCACGGCCCATTGTTTTGTTCTGTGTCTGTACAGCGCCTAGCGCAATGGAGTTCCAGCGCCTAGCGCAATGGAGTTCCTGCTCCTTGACCAAGAACATAAGAACAGCCGCACGGTGTCAGGCCAATGGTCCATCTCGCCTAGTATCTTGTCTCTGCCAGGGGCCAGTGCCAGACTAGGGCTCCTAGGCGCGAAGATAATAAAAATAATAAATGTAAGGTGTTCAGAGAGATGGCACCCCCTCGGCCCCTTATGAATTTCCCCTGGATACCATGCTTTTCAGACAGTGTCTGTCCATGTCTGGAAGGCAGGCAGGGGCAGCCTGTTGAGCTACCCACTAGAGTGCCACTGGAAGGAGGTTCTCCCTGCTGACTACTTAAGCAATAGCCTATTGGAACTAAGGGGCCACATTGTATACAATAATACACGTACGCTAAACACACCTGACTGCTCGAGCTACACTGTTCCAGGTCTAGACACTTACATGGTTGCCGTCGTATCTGAGGACCTCCTGTATATTAATGAGTTAGTCTTCACAACACTCCTGTTGGGAGGAGTTATTGTCACCCTCCTTTTACAGGCGGGGATACTGAGGCACCGGGAGACTAAGTGATTGGCCCAAGGTATCACTGGAAGTCCTGGGAATAGAACCTAGATTTACTGGGTCCCACTCCAGTACCTTAACCCTTAGTCCATCCTTCCTCCGTTAAACTGGCCGACCCGTCCTTAACACCACTGTGGCAGCTAGTACAGCCTTTTTTGGTAGGGGTGGGTGTCTCGTGTCCTATGTGCAATGTGGCTGCCAGTCTGGGTCTCTGGCTGGCTTGTAGCAGACAACAAGGCTTCCACATCAGAAAATCCACCCTCCAGAAGCTGGCCCTGACTGATCCCCTCTTGTTAGCAGCCTCCGCAGAGGCCAAGGGAACTAAAGTGGGGCTGTGGTCAGGGCAGCTGTTGCTCATGCAATACCTCTTCCGTGCATGAACAGAACTAAAAACTCATGGGAAACCGCGTGTGAGCACAGAGACGTGGCACGGCCCTGTGGTATTTTGTCACTTGTTTTCTGCTTCCCAGCATGCAGAGGCTGTTGTGCCTTGGATGTGGCCTCCAAGGCTGGGAAATGACCGGCAGGCAGCTGGCGACATAGACTTGAGCAATAGGACCGTGCGCCTTTGGGGATTGTGTTTG